GTTTGGAGAGTTTTGGAAGCGAGGTAAACAGATGTACAAATTTATTTTCCATAAGGGTTCTTATAATTGTAATACACCCAATTAAAGTAAGATCTCGACAGCTTCAGTATCATAGAACTTTATAACCTGTTGTATTTTATCATAAAATATCATAATTTATGCGTTCCATATCCTCGAGATGTAATGGAAACACAAGTTTAAAGTTTGAAGTTGACCAATTTAAATTCAAATCTGGACATATTCTTTCATAAGAGGACCTTTTACTTCCTATCCAGTACAGTACAGGCAAGATTTTTGTAAAATCTTCAATCCAAATACCCTTGCAAAATCTTCTAGTATTCAGACTGCAGTATATGAAGCCTGGCTATTTCTATTAAGCAGAATATAGGCATCATCAGAATATAGGCATCGTCAGAATATAGGCATCATCAGCATATAGGCATCATCAGCATATAGGCATAATCAGCATATAGGCATCATCATAATATAAGCATCACGAGAATATATTCTGATGATGCCTATATGCTGATGATGCCTAGGCATCATCAGCATATAGGCATCATCAGAATATAGGCATCATCAGCATATAGGCATCATCATAATATAAGCATCACGAGAATATAGGCATCATCAGAATATAGACGTCATCAGAATAAAGGCATCATCAAAATATAGGCATCATCAGCATATAGGCATCATCAGAATATAGGCATTATCAGAATATAGGCATCATCAGAATATAGGCATCATCAGCATATTGGCCCAGAAGGAATTGGTTACCGGTTAAAACTATTCCTTTCATATTGATATATACGATTTTATCGCTAGAGCTTAAAGTTCAACCCCTCTTATAAATATATAGGTGACAAGGGATCACCTTGACGATGAGTTCGACTTAGTTCAAAGTAAGATGACAAGTGACCATTACTAAATATGCAGCTTTTGTAATTTCCAAAAATATATTTGAATTCAGCACCGAACCCGTCAGACCCAGGACTCTGCCTATTTTCCATACATTCTAATGCTTTTGCTAATTCTTAAAGTTTCAGGTCACAACTATTTTTATCAGCATTGTTGAGTTTAATTTTGGGTTTGAAAACATTGGAATTTTCAAAATGTGTTAAGTCATTTTGTTTGGATTTATGTAGGTTCTTAAAAACAATAACCTCTTCTTCAATCATCTCCCTTTGACTATCAAATATATCCCCCTCTTCTATTAATGATTTATTTATACTTTTATTAACAAAATGTATTTTCTCCAAAACAAACAAAGATAACATTGTGGTTGCTTTTTCCAATTTTCATACCAATTTGCTTTTGACATAAAAAGAAGACCTTTACTTTATTTTTAGTAATTATTTCAAGTTCCTATTTTTTTATTACTAAATTCTCTACTTAAGTTGTCACTTGGGTTCAGGTTATAATTGTTGTTTTAGTTCTTCTATTCCTGACTTTTAATCTTTCTGTTTTCTCCTTTTTTTTCTTTTTTTTTCTTTGTGATTGAGTAAGATATTGTGTGCGAACGAATTTTAACTTTCAAAACTTCTAAAAATATTTGGTCATTTACACGCAAAATAATATTTTCTAAGTTATCTTTGTCTACTTCAACAATATATTTATCTACAGTTTCTGTAATGCAGTCTTTGACTTGTTGTATGTAAGTTTTATCTTCTAAGAGAGAAGTATTATATTTCCGATATCCTCTACCACGTTCTACAATACTGGAATTAGCATCTAAGACTATACAAAAGTGATCAGTTCTTTAGCCAGGTATAACTTTTGTATCTTTTGGTTTTGAATATATGTTCCCTGATATTAAGAAGTAATCAAGCCTGCTTTGTCGAATATGATATTTTTGCCTCCATGTAAAATAATTCAAATCAGGAAAAAAGGATCTCCATGGATCTATAAGATCATATGTATTAATTATATTATTATTGCTTCCTAGGTTTTGGGGTTGTTATTGTGAATAACATTGTGTGTATCCATTTCTTTGTACTGTATAGAATTCCAATTACCACATACATGTACTATCCTAGAAGTATTCTTAAAAACTTGTAGGGTTGACAAAAGTTTTCATAGAGACGGGGTGAATCTGAATTTGGACCATATATATATGCTAATGTTGAGGAAATATCAAGTATAACAAATCTTTCATAATTATATACTCTACTACCATGTATTAAATGTTCACATGTATTTCTCAAAATTATTAGCTACCCCTGCTGATCTAGATGTATAATTACCAAACACACACGTATATCCCCATTCTTGTTCCAATATTTTCTATACTATCTTCACAATGTGTTTCCTGCAAGCAGATACTATCAAAATGTTCCTTTTTTATTGTGTGGAACACATATCTCCTCTTCAGCCTAACATATTTCAGTCCCCTTACATTCATAGACATTAGCTTAATTCAACCCACAGCCAGCACAGCGGTAAACCCAGTACCCCATCAGCCAAACAAAGCAAAACCCTCCAGCCCCCCATCTGCCTCCTGCCTCACACACCACAGTAGTAACATATACAAACGTTAAATCAGGTACATATACACATAATGAAAATTTCTGATGAAACACATACACACCTTCTCTAATCACCAAACATCACATTTAAAAAAACATGATTTGTCTATTATGGTCGCTGACTACACAAGATGCTGCATACTCTGAGATTTTATTACTAATTATTGTACGTTTACTTCTGAATGTATTGATATTACAGGAACAACTGAAATCAATAATAAAAACACTGGAGAAACATATTCAAACCATTCTGAAGGGGTTTATACAAGTACATTGTACAACTACAATGTGTTGATAAATGTTGCATACATGCACATGTATATATGATGCATAGACCGGTACTATGTCCAGCATTAATGCCTGAAAGTTACAGCGAGACTGATGAATTAGAATTAGATAATAAAAAAATAAAAAAAAAACCGGGGTATTTATAACAATGGTGCGCTTTTGTACGCTCTAGACTGAAAAAGGTTAAATATCAGATTTCCCCTAGCTTGCTTCCTGGACCTTGTACCGATATATGCTACAATATTCGCCCAGTATTAACTAGTTTGTTATTTAGCAGGTCGCGTTGAGCTCGATGACGTTTGGAGGGCACTAGGAACCTTTGGAAAGTATCAGCTTATTCAGTCCGCCCTGCTCATGAGTACCGTTTTTCCGGAATTGATACAACTCCTGGTCGTCGTCTTCATTGGTAAACAACCATATAATGGAAATTGTTGTGGAGTTTATGTTATATTTCTGTTTACTCTGTCTCCTCGGTTTATGCTGTTTTCTTTTGTATCTGTTTCGATTTATTCCTAGCCGGTTCAAAATATAATATTTTTCTCTTTATTTTCAGCTCCCTGTAGAGTGCAATTTGTTCCATATTGGTTTTAGCAGTTTGTTTTATTGGCAATGTTCATCAAAGTGGCTTTGCTTTGCCATCCATATTAAAGTCATAAATCATCACGCAATGTACTGCTTTGCATATGGATATTTTACTCATTGACGAATATTCTTGGAATTTATTATAATATTAACCGTGAAGATTTGAAATGGTTCTCTTATTATAGGATTCTCTCACTAGATTTAAAGTCGGTAACATCTAGACATTTACGGAGACCGTTTTTCAGACACATTATCTCATAGCTTGAGAAACAATCGCAACAAAGGAGTCTTTAAAAAAGAAGTAATGACTGATAAAAATGCAGAGCGTACACCTTTTAAAATTGAGGTATATGTTGAGCTGTTTTGTTATATAGGATTTCGGCCACCCTACCACTGTGCCAATGTGTCTTCCTCACAGATTATTGCGGACACCGCCAAATACAGCAACACAAGCATAGGCCTGTCTTACCATGCGTGTCATGTCGACTTGGTTATCAGTGACACAAATAGCACACTTCTGTCCTTGTCGCCATGTCCAGCTGGGTATAACTACGGCCTAGAGAAGGACAGAACGTTTGTGACAGACGTAAGCTATGACATGTGAAGGTACAGTGTAGCACAGAATGTTTATGACACAGGCATTTATATGTACAAGGCAGAAAAGGATCTGATGTGTATAACCGAGCTAAAACGCTTGTGAATTAAATAAGTAGATGTACTTTCAGCAGCAAAACTTTTACTGGGGAAAAAACGCGGGAATATAACGTAATCTCTCGCGCTATTTTCGGATAACATCAAATTTTTAAAACAGGCTAATCTGGTAAAATTTATTATCCTTTATATACTTATGTGTATCTGAAAATCGTTTATAAGTATTAGTACGTGTTGTTTTAGTACGACCTGGTGTGCGATGGAGCAGAGGGAGCAGAATTGTCACAAACTTTGCTCATGGTCGGCCAGATGGTTGGGGCGGCCATTTTACCTCAGTGTTCAGACAGGTTCGGGAGAAAGCCTATCCTTGTCTCCTCACATATCGGTTTGCTTGTAGCAGGATTAGGAGGTTGTTTTTTACCAACATTCACCGGATTTGCAATAATGAGGTTTCTCATTGGAGTCTTCCAACAAGTATGTTCTTTGCATTAATATCATTAGTTGTGCTAGGTTCTCGAAACTTTTCTTCTGTTGTGATAATTATCGTTTTGTCTCATATAGTTACACCAATAGCAACGTCATAATGTATGCCAGAGCTCTGCGATGTCGTATTATAAAAAGACAATATATAAAGTGTCAAGATGGCTCTGATGAACACTTCTTGATTATTTTATTCCACGAATAATCGAATGCACTACGGTTTAAGTGATAGATTGTAAATTGATCTCGCATTCGAAAATACTAGTCAAATAATCAGGAAAATAGTTTTTCAATTTTTTAGTTTGCTCTACATAAATGCCTCTCAACTTTTATTAGGGAATGGCTATGGTACGTCCTGCTATGATGCTAGAAATGTTTCCCGAGGAAGTGAGATATTTGACGGAAGTAGCTGGTCTGGCCTCCTGGACTACCTCTGCGGTCGTCATGACGCCTGTTGTTTACTTCCTCCGGGATCTGTCCTGGCGCTATCTATACCTCGTCCTCACGCTATCATCCGCTTACAGTGTCCTGGGATACTGGTTAGTCCTTTTAAATTGTCAATACCAAACAAAAGAAACGTTTGTACTGCACCAAATGGCCATGTAGCTCGTCTGCATTGACTATCTCACTCTAGATCCAGAAGTGGATACCAGAATGTCCTAGTGATCCCAGACCATTTCACGAGATACGCCCAAGCCATTCCAACATGCAACCAGACAGCCAAAACAACAGCCGAAGCTCTATTCAACAACTTTTTTGTTCACTACGGCATGCCAAAAGGCTTCATGCCGATCAGGGTGCCAACTTTGAAAGCAAATTTATATCCGAGCTCGGTCAGCTAACATGGATAACTAAGTCGAGGACTACTTCTTAGCACCCTATTGGTAATGGCATGACGGAAAGATCCAACCGCACTCTGATTAACATGCTAAATACTCTGGAACCTGACAAGAAGACGGACTGGAAGACCTACGTGGCACCACTAGTTCACGCCTATAACTGTACCAGACATGAGTCGACCAACACATCACCATTTTTCCTCATGTTTTGTAGGGAGCCACCTTTGCCTCTGGACATCTCCTTTGGTATAGGGAAACTGATTTATGAGGCCCAGTCTCTCACTGACTGCGAAGGGACTCATGAAACGTCTCGCATACAGTTATGATCTAGCTACTAAATCCTCAACAAGTGCAAAGTGGATGCAGAAGGCATCCTATGACCTCAGAGTCCGAGGAGCGTCGCTAAACATTGGAGACAGAGTGTTAGTGAAAGCTTTAGCTTTTGACGGCGATCATAAATTATCTGATGCTTGGGAGGATGAGGTGTACATCATAATGGAACAACCCAATCAGAGTATACCAGTATTCAGACTAGAGTCTGAGTCCGGACAGGGTCGGAGTAGAACGCTTCATCGGAACAACTTGCTTCCCATAGGAGCTTTGCCATCGGAATCTACTGAGGCAGTGAAGAAGCTAGATTCCAATGTTCCTGTGAAGTCTGCTGACTATGATACGACATTAACTGTACCTACAGCAGAGATTGCCAACACCATTTCAGACAGTGTGAGTGATGATGAAGAACAGTCATACATATGTGTAGACAGCCAGTATGGACCACGGGATTCCGAAACCAGTAAGATGTCGGACAACCATGTTGAAGATTTGACCACACAGGAACCGGATGACGATCTTGGTACTCCTGTGGTGGTCGTTGATTCGTCTGGTGACGACCAGCTCTCAACGGAGGGGAGATGATCAGTGGAACATTCAAACGTAAGCGGTGAGGAAGGAAAGGATAATACAGTCAGAGATGTCGGAGACAGACAAGAAAGGGACGTCAGGCAAGATACTTCAGAAGAAGTTATTGAGGAGGCAGAACCGCCACCAGCTTTGCCTGTTCCTGCGCCAAGATGGAGTGGAAGAGAACGTCGGCCTCCTGACTGGATGACCAAGGGAAAATTTGTTCTTTCTCATCAACACCAGTCTGTTGAACATAATTTAATGATCGCCAAGGCAAAACTAGTGGAAAATCTTGTAAATCAATGTGTATTTTCTGAGCTTTCAACCGGAATGTCTAATACCATTCTTTTTTCAGTTTTCACGTAGCAACATTTCATTAATATCATTTCTATACAATTTATTTACAGGTAAACCTTTTGCCATCTTTAGACCCTTGCCTCACGTTGGGCGCCATTGTAACAAAGACGGTTTCGTTCTTTTATTTATTTCGTTTCTTCAAGTATATATCTATATGCGTAATACTCAGGACATTTAATACATTCAATACCCCCACCAATGGGTCAAGGGTCTAAAGATGAGATATTGGTAATAGTCGTCAATACGACATACTGTAGACTAGCATGGCAACAACAATTATTTAGATTCCCCATACTACTTGTCTAGCTCTGTCCACTGTGAACATGTCCGCTGTCAAATGTCCAATATGAATGACTTACGCGCCAAACTTAAAGGCACTGACCATATAAAACCAAAACGAGGCACTTGCATACACACTACCTTACACCTACCAGGTACATGCATACCACAGGTAGCATACATCCCGTGACATGGACAGTACAGTAACACGGACATACACAGCACATTGACAATACAGTACAAATACTAGGACTCACAGCGCTATGCATATTTGAATATTAAAATAACATATACATTGCAAATGTTATCCCGGTTACATTTAAACATGGAATATGTCTGTTATAGGATGCATAACGAATCTGTACGATGGCTTCTGGCAAATGGCAAAACCGCAGAAGCAAAGACAATTTTGAGAAAGGCTGCAAAGATGAATAACGTGGATGAAGAACAAATCCTACAGATAGTTGACAAGGTAACAGCTGTACAATGCAACACGGAGGAAGTCGTAGATATCGAAGAGGAAAGTGAAAGTTTATCGGGAAAAACAATCAAGAATGACGACAAAAGAAGCAACAAGAACATTGTACCGAAATACACCATTGTAACCTTGTTTAAGAGACGCCGAATAGCAATGATAATTGTTATTATGATACTGGCCTGGTACGTACTCATGACATTTTACACTGACTTCACTAACGTTGAAACCCGTTATTTCGGGTGCCGATATTCATAACTAATCACATTATATTACAGTAAACCGGTCTGAAAGCCTCTTGTGTACTTCATTTTAAGAAACACAACGTTGAAATCTACATCTGTAAAAAAAAACTTTTACATTGCCCTCTGCGCGAATTTCGAAATAGGTAATCGTAATGCGTAATGCTTATTTTTTTACAATTGGTTTTCAAAGAAATAAAGACTTAACAGAGATTTTCTTACAATTATTTATTAAAGACATAACGATGGAATTAGAAGATGTAGTATTACTTATAACTTAAGGGTCATACCGCAAAAGAGTTTCTAAGAAATTGAATAGCTTTTTCCCTTCTTTATGTTATATATAACATTAACTCCTGATTGTAATCGATTCATAAACAGAAATCAAAACGCCATGACTTAGATCTATAATTTAAGTGTTCGTTTAACTCATTCCCCTTCATACATACTGGTTCGTTGCGGACGCTTGCACGATAGAAATGAATCGTCTGCTATAAAAATATTTGATTACCACGACTAACTATGCCAGATTTCATTCTACAGGACCGTTGACAGTTTGACCTACTTTGGTTTGATCCTGTCCTCAGCCTCTTTGCCTGTTGACCGATATCTGAGCTTCTTCCTGCTTGCCGTCGCTGAATTCCCTGTTGTATTGTTCGAATACACGCTGATGAATCGGTATGATATTGAATCTAACAAAAACACGACAGGGCTAGTTTTATGACTTAGTGTTTGCAGCGTTAAGGGTTCCGACGCAACGCCATAACGTTCGGTAATGCCTTCGAGTTGTTAAATATTACTTTTATTACTATTGGTTATACTCGGATAAATAGTAGAAGAGCTAATAAACTGCCTTCAATATGCACTGCGTCATAAATCATTTACAATCAATACATCACATTTTTTATGCAGCAGAACTATATACAAACAAAGGTTCAGCACAAATATGTGCAACATTATGAAGACACTATGACACCACACTAAGTCAACATCTTGATCTCCAGCTAGACTGTTGTTTACAATGTCCAAATCCAAACGAAGTAAATACGTTGCAGTGCACAGCTCAGTTGAAAAATAAAAGCGTGTTGTGTATTGTATTTCTTTAACCGTGGCCATATAAATGCCGGAAAAATATATATTTAATATAGCCCTTTCAGTTTCTAAGCTGAAAGTTTTAGCGTAAAGCTAACTAACTACGTGTCTTATTACGTTAAACTTGACTCACTAGCTACCGAATCGTTTACCCCGATGAATCTGTTGTTCGATCTTATAGTATATTACCAAAACAATGTAAACACATAATGATTAATTACTTTTGTTTTATATAGGATTATTTGACAATTAGAATTCTGGGGGGGGGGGGGGGGGGGGGGAGAGAATATATAATCCTGCAGTTTCAAGAGATGATAATGACAGTTTTCCTTCAGATTACAGACATATACCTACAGACGGTTTTCATGGCGTGTTATATGTGTCATGTTTATTATAGCTTTCTTTTATTTTTACAGAATAGGACGAAAGCGTTTCTGTATAATATTCCACATTATAGCAGCCGTTTCACTCATAGCGGGGACTGTGGCAAACCATTTTTCAGGTATTTTTGATCTAAATCAAGTAACAGGTAGTCTAAGATACAAAACAATGTTGAAAACTCATTGATAAGAACTATACGTAGGGTAAAATGCTGATATGTTTCAAAAGAGAAAATATCAGTGTATTTTGCCATAAGTTGAAACATTTATGGTATTCATGGAAAGCTATTAACTATCTGTTGTTATAATTTTAAATACATGTATCTCACTGGTTAAAAGGTAAAGAAATATGTTTTCACGTTTGTAAAACCAACCAATCAACCTATTTTTACTATTCTTCTCTTGGAAAGGCACGGAACTCTTTTTATTATATCAAAATCGAATTAATTGTTTTGTTCCTTGATTTAAGGATAGCTTTCCTTTCAAATGATGCCCAAAGTATCTTATTAAGGTCGAGTAAAATTTGTAAAATAGCTTTTTGGGGTTTTTTCTTCGTCTTCTTTTTAATAGGAATGAATAACCAAGAGATTTTTTCAAACAAACAACTTTTTTAAATGACAAATGTAAATCCATTTTCACAGGCAAAATATGACAAGGGGATGTTTAAGACGTGTTTGATCGTAAAACGGGCTTTATATCTTGAACTGTCTTAATAATTATTATGTTAAACATAAATGTTGCAAGCTGATGTAATACATTTAGATAGTAACATATTAGTCGTGGCGATACCTTTCTATATCCGTCTGTGAGGAGGTCCATTTGTGGGAGGATTGTAACTGTAACTGCCATTTGGTTACATGAACTAAGCACTACTCATAAGATTACGTGATTACGCGCATAAAAAAAGTTCTTTAGTTTTTTCATTATTTTAAATGTTCACCAGCACTTTGATCGACGCTGATTTAATATTATCATTTTATTTGTTTGAATATAATTTTTAGTCATTGACCTAGCCTCGCCGATAACAACGGAAAATTTTGAATTGCATGGGAAAACATTGAATTTCTATACAAACAAAGTACAAGCATTAAACCGCATACTGCAGACCTACTGGTTTAAATGCAACATATGTCGCAGAAATACTGAAGATGCCCGTAAACTTAAATAAATTATTATGATTTAATCTATAAAGTGATGCGTTGTGGCTACTCCACATGTTAAATTTGATAAAGGTATGTAAGCCAAATGTTGTAAAGATTTTATTTTTTTCAGTTTCACCAATTTTCATACTGTGTAACCAAAAATAAACAATTTCCAACACTTAATACGGCTAAATAAAGATAAGCTGGTAAACAGGGGTCATAATGTGGTATATTATCATTTATACTAAAATTATTATAAGAATTGTTTATCAAATTTTAAATGAAAAATGCCCCATTGATATACCCTTTTGTATATGAAATTAATGGTCTCATTCTTAGGAAAATACAAATGATTGCCTTGCTGTATGAAATTGACTTATATCTTTCATTTGAACATATCGTGAAACGTAGCATGGTTACTTTTCTATTGTTACAACATTCACTTAAAGTACAGCTTTGTGGTTTGCACCCTATCTTAGTTAGAACGCGAGAAACAAAATTTCGAGAAAATACTCAAAAGTTTAATTTAAATTGTCGAACATGAATAAAAAAAACTGCATTAAAAGGGATTGATAGCGATTTAAGATAAGAATTTAATCTTAAATACTCCATATTTAAATTGAGAAATCTTTAACGTATTACTTATGTATCTGTTACTATTGTTTCCAGATTTACCAGGAGCCAAAATCCTGATTATGATATTCTTCTTCCTCGGTAAACTCGGAATAACAGGGTCGTTCAGTTGTTTATTTCTGTACACACCAGAACTTTACCCGACCAACCTCAGGTAAATTACTAATGTAATCCTCTCAACAATATAGTAGAGATTTACCCGACCAACCTCAGGTAAATTACTAATGTAATCCTCTTACCAATACACCAGGTATTTACCCGACCATCCTCAGTTAAATTACTAATGTAATCCTCTCAACAATATACCAGATAATTACCCGACCAACCTCAGGTAAATTACTAATGTAATCCTCTAAACAATATAGCAGAGATTTACCCGACCAACCTCAGGTAAATTACTAATGTAATCCTCTAACCAATACACCAGGTATTTACCCGACCATCCTCAGTTAAATTACTAATGTAATCCTCTCAACAATATACCAGATAATTACCCGACCATCCTCAGGTAAATTACTAATGTAATCCTATCAACAATATACCAGATAATTACCCGACCAACCTCAGTTAAATTACTAATGTAATCCTCTAAACAATATACCAGATATTTACCCGACCAACCTCAGGTAAATTACTGATGTGATCCTCTAACCAATATAATACAGTCAGCCATGTATGGCCAAAAAAGTCAACCAGATTAACAATTGTATTTCTTTTCTTTTTATAAATGGTAATCATTTTTAAAAGTGACATTCTATATTTCACAGCCGGATACCGGATGTTGTAGATAGCCTTGTGTGTGAAATTAAGAAATTGAAAAAGCGATTTTGTTTATTTTATCATTAAAAAATATTTCAATACTTAAAGGGTATCATAATAAAATAGACGATATTAAATAATGCGCTATCGGCAGGACGATTGGTATGGGGCTTCCATCCGCGGCTGGACGAGTAGGAGGCATGTTGGCACCGTTTGCTGGTCCCCTGGTAGGTTCATTACATATCATACATAGTAGCCATGCAATAAGCAGATCATACTGTCTTTATTTAATGCAGTATTATGATGCATTTCTATATACTGGAAACCTCGTTATTCGGGAAGAATTTTCCCCCTTCATCTTTCTAGTAACATATTGTTTTAATAGCTGAAACAAGCGCACAGAACGTGAGTTCGCTGTGGGGACATGTGCTCAATGTTGGCGTGAGACATTTATAAATACTTCTGCCGTGGACTTAAATACTGTCCAACATTAAACACTGATTCATGTTTGCCTTCAGGCTGAACGTGTAAGATGGGCGCCGGGTGCCATATTTGGTTGCCTGTGTTTAGCAGTTGCCTTGGTGCTTCCGCTTCTTCCGGAGACAAGGGGACATGAGCTCCCGACCCGGGTCGAAGATCTTGAGGAGTGGTATAAATCTCACAGCGGTACTAAACGGAGGAAACGATAAGGTCACTAGAAGATTGCTAGATGCGTTTTTAATTGTCTTTTTGTGCAAATTTTGTGCAGATATTTTTGATTTGCTGCGAGATATACTTGTCTGAAAACACATACTGTATTTCGTTGACGTCTACAGATCACTTAATTAACGACATAGCCCGTAAATTAGAATCAATTAGAATGGCTACGTACAGTATATCGTTTAGTGAGTACCGATTTATACAACTTGTTTGCAATTCTGCCCACATATATTTTAAACAGACTTTTTATAATTTCATCCTTATTCAGAATATTTTTACTCCTTTCCTGATTCAGATTCTTTATTTATCAAGAGTCCTTAGGCTTATAGGTACTCTAATATATATAGAGAATAAAATAATAACTTTGTAAGATCTACCGCTATGCCTTTCTGCCTTCTAGGGCTTCTTCAGGCGGATATTTTCCTTCGCAAGGACTTGTAATAAATATATATATAGCTAAACTATTTTGAAGACAATAAGCCCCTCGGCTACTGTTAGCGAAGGCAGATTTTACACCGACTTGTTGACTAGTGTAAATTCTGCCTTCGGCTAACACTAGCCGAGAGGTTTATTGTTTTCAAAATATGTTAGCTATATCCTATTATATTTCTTATATTGTTTTGATGTAACGTAATTGGTTGTTTTCTGTTTCCCCATAAAGGGTCGGAATGCTCCGAAAATTTGACAACATCCTATTGTCTACACTGTAAGAATGACTTCCTTGCCCGCTATACAATCCTAAGTAACTCGTATCCTACAAACATACGTCTGCAAGGATCCAGTGTTATTCGGGAGGCTACCGTAAATCTTACTCCTTTGACCCATATATATACTACAGCTGAAAACTACAAAAGCATTTCTATACTAGCGGAAAAAAGAAACTGTGCATGCCTAAAAAGTGTTATAAAAATAAATGTGTATGACGTAGAACAACAAGGTTTTCAGGGACAATTTATTTGTTATTTATTAACAGTTGCATTTCATTTTCCATGTTATGGAATCAATAAGTTCCGCTCAGGAGTGACGTAAACACACCAGGGGTCAATACTGAGTTCACAAATTTAATACCTCGTATGTCCACCGTTTGCCTGAATGCAAGCCTGGCAACGTCGACGCATGGAGTCTATCAAATGGTTCAAGAATGCTTGTGGGATGGCATTCCAGATCTGTACCAACGCTGCAGCCAAATCAGCCAACGTCACCGGTTGATTAGGTAATGCACGTAATCTGCGCTTCATTTCATCCCAGACGTGTTCAATGGGCGACAGATCGGGGGATACATCAGGCCAGGGCAACACGTCAACGTTCTGCTGGGCCAGAAAGTCCATAGCGACACGAACTGTGTGTGGCCTGGAGTTGCCCTGCTGTAGCGCAATGTGACGTTGCTGCCCTTGCACGAATGGAACGACATGGGTCCGGAGGATCTCGTCACGGTAACGTAGCGCGTTCAAATTCCCGTTAACAACCACCAGAGGCGTTCTCCCGTTGGCTGTGATGCCGCCCCAAATCATAACGCTGCCTCCGCCGAAAGAACGTCGTTGTACCACACATGCGTCACGGAAACGTTCTCCAACGCGACGATACACTCTGGAACGGCCGTCATTACTATCCATGTGGACTCGCGACTCGTCCGTAAACAAAATGCCTGCCCAATGCCGTCAAGTAACTCGCAGATACCCTCTGCACCAGTCCAAACGTGCTACACGATGACGTGGCGGAAGAACTGTGCGGATTGCAGGACGTCGCAGACGGATAGCTCGTTCACGCAATCGGTTCCGTACAGTTCTACTAGGGCTTATTGGTATGTCCGTGCATTCAAACTTGCCGTTTGGAAGCGATTTCTCAAATGGACAAGCCGAATATGGTTGTCCTGTTGACGTGACGTCACACGTGGACGTCCCACACGAGGTCGATCGCCGACGTGGCCAAACTGTTGATGTCGTCTACACAAATCCCGGATTGTGTTTCGATGGACATGAAAACGTGTAGAGACAACAGCTTGGCCCATACCAGCTTGAAGCATACCAATAATCCGGAGGTGGTCATTTTCATTGAGCCTCAGCATAGCATTAATCACAAATTAAAACGTTATAATGCTGTTTTTACTGTTTACTGGTCTCAACAGAGTGACCCAACAGTTGAAAAAAAAACTTTCATTGTCGAATTGGATGGCTGGACGAGAAAAACGTGCAAACTGGTCAACGCCTATAGAGAGCAAACTGCCAGGGAAAAGCTTTCAATGACACACGGATAGTGTGTATGTGTCATACTCGGTTATGTGTGTGAATTTTTATGTATATACAGTTGGTAATATATGTTCTATATCAATTCTCCGCATGCACAGTTTCTTTTTTCCGCTTGTATATTTTACAAGCATGATTAGCTTAAAGACAGCCGATATCGCAGTAAAATGGAAATTTAATTCGACCGATGTAAATGCAGGGCCTACATTGTCTGTCTGTTCCGAGGGATCACACGATACCAGCAAATTCAACAAACTAGACCAAAGATACAACGTTCTGTGTCAAACTCATATAAACACTCATATCTGTCATAGATTAAAAACAGTGAAGATATTTCAGTTGGTCAAGGTTTATTTAAAAAAAAGATTCAATACGGGTTATTTAAGAAATATCTATTTCATAATTTAAGTAAACATAATATAGTTAAACATACAAATGGAGCAAGTATGCCATTAAACCAAAAGGAAACATTGACAACGTGATGGAAACATTGGCAACATGAAGGTAACGATGACAACATGAAGGCAACTTTCTCCGGGTTCTTAAATATTATTTTAAACAATGTACAACTTTAAACTAAATACGATATGGCATGGTGTTTCAGGACTCTACCTACTGTACATTACTGAAATAAAGCCTCGTTATAGGTACATCATTACCGACATTATTTCTGTTACGAATAACGAGTTTGATTGATATTTTGCTTTGTCTATCTCTACATATAAAACACATAGCTGTAATGCACAAGTGTCTTAATACAACCTTAATGAAAACACGTGCCCTTTAGGAGCAGCTGGTCTGGCCGTGATATTTTATGAGTTCATTGAACATTTCCTTTTGATTTTTGGTCTCCATGGTTCCTATTGTTTTGAGATCTACCAGATATGCTATCTCTGCTGCCTTTGATTCATTTTCGAATTCAATATATCTTCAAAAAAGTTCACACAATACTCTCCCGATCAAAGAGTGTCGCACTTTCGTCCTCGTCGTCCTCGTCAGTATCGTCTCGGATGATTTCGTCCATCTGCAGTTGGTTATACATGTACCTACAGGAAATATATACGAAAGTCAATACACGATGACACAGTTAATAGACGTAATAACCTTTCCACTTGTGACTGATCCCATAAAATAATCACAAGAATTACGAAGCAATGTAACATCTGTTTAAGACAATATTATGACAATGGAGAAAGCTAAACAGAGAAACATGTGCATCACCATAAAAGTATTTAGTCCAGGACTTGTCAGTCACACTAAAGGTAAACAAACATCGACATCACCATATAAATATTTAGTCCAGGACCTGTCGGTCACACTAAAGGTAAAGAAACATTGACATCACGATATAACTATTTAGTACAGGACTTGTCGGTCATACTAAAGGTAAAAAAACATAGACATCACCATAGAACCATTTAGTCCAGGTCGTATCATTCATACTAAAGGTAAAAAAACATAGACATCACCATATAAATATATATTGTCCAGGACTAGTCAGTCACACTAAAGGTATACAAACATTGACATCAACATATAACTATTTAGTACAGGACTTGTCGGTCATACTAAAGGTAAACTAACATAGACATCACCATAGAACCATTTAGTCCAGCACTTGTCAGTCACACTGAAGGTAAACAAACCTTGACACCAGCATATAACTATATAGTCCCAGGACGTGTCAGTAAAGCAAAAGGTAAGCAAACATTGACATCACCATAAAAGTATTTAGTCCAGGACGTGTCAGTCATACTAAATGTAAACAAACATAGACGTCACCATATAACCATTTATTCCAGGACTTGTCAGGCATACGAAAGGTAAACAAACATCGACATCACCATATAAATATTTAGTCCAGGACTTCTCAGTCATACTAAAGGTAAAAAAACATAGACATCACCATATATCCATGTAGACCAGGACGTGTCAGTAAAGCAAAAGGTAAGCAAACATTGACATCACAATATAACTATTTAGTACAGGACTTGTCGGTCATACTAAAGGTAAAAAAACATAGACATCACCATAGAACCATTTAGTCCAGGTCCTGTCGGTCACACTAAAGCTACACAAACATTGACATCACCCTATAACTATTTAGTCAAGAACCTGTCGGTCACACTAAAGCTACACAAACATTGACATCAACATATAACTATTTAGTACAGGACTTGTCGGTCATACTAAAGGTAAAAAAACATAGACATCACCATAGAACCATTTAGTCCAGGACTTCTCAGTCATACTAAAGGTAAAAAAACATAGACATCACCATAGAACCATTTAGTCCAGAACTTGTCAGTCATACTAAAGGTAAACAAACATTGACATCACCATATAACTATTTAGTCCAGGACTTGTCGGTCATACTAAAGGTAAACAAACATTGACATCACCATTTAACCATTTAGTCCAGGACTTGTCAGTCACACTGAAGGTAAACAAACATTGACACCAGCATATAACTATATAGTCCAGGTCGTGTCAGTCATACTAAAGGTAAACAAACATAGACATCACCATATAACCATTTAGTCTAGGACTTGTCAGTCACACTGAAGGTAAACAAACAGTGACATCACCATAACGTTAGTTGTCAAGTAGTGAGGAATCATATGTCATACTCGACTTGTCAGTCATACTAAAGGTAAACAAACATTGACATCACCATTTAACCATTTAGTCCAGGACTTGTCAGTCATACTAAAAGTTAACAATCATTGACATCACCATATAACTATTTAGTCTAGGACTTGTCAATCACTATAAAGGTACACAAAGTAAACATTGACATCACCATATAACTATTTAATCCAGGTCGTGTCAGTCATACTAAAGGTAAACAAACATTGACATCACCACATAACCATTTAGTCCAGGACTTGTCAGTCACACTGAAGGTAAACAAACATTGACATCACCATAACGTTAGTTGTCAAGTAGTGAGGAATCATATGTCATACTGAAGTATTCATAAGACACTGTGTCAATGAAACAGTCAACATCGTTACTATAATAGATTATATATTATTTCAGGTAAACAAAGCGAGAATGAATTCAAGGTTCAACGATACCGATTCCTGTTTGCAGATAAAATATGTTTAATGTTAAAACTAGTACAACGAACCCTGCTCAGACTGGTGACTTTGTTGTGCGCACAGTAAAATCACGTTAGTTCGGACATTTAAATCAATCTAATTGCAACCACATTAAAATTTTCTCTGATAATCTGTATACCAAATACACAGTTCCGAAGTGAATCATTTGTGGTATATTTTGACTCGTATACTATTACTATCCAATGAAATTTCATTTATCCTATAAGACATGAGCTTTCCCGATTGACGAGGTTTCGATTTCACGTGATTAGTTCAGATTGTCGAGGTTCCAATTTAACAAGAGTGATCCGGGTTGTCGAGGTACCGATTTAGCAAGAATTGTCCAGATTATCGAGGTTCCGATTTAGCAAGAATTGTTCAGATTGTCGAGGTTCCGATTTAGCATAAGTTGTCCGGATCGTCCAGGTTCCGATCTAGCATGAGTTGTCCGGATCGTCGATGTACCGATTTAGCATGAGTTGTCCGGATTTTAGAGGTTTCGGTTCAGCATGAGTTGTCCGGATTGTCAATGTCCAGGCTAACTAGGTTACACTTTATTTACTAAATAAACGGCTCAGATTTATAAAAAGTTGGTGAATCTGACATACTTTCGAGTTGACAGACTTTCTCTTTGACTATCAATTACAATGCTTGTACAAAAATGTCGTGTTATTTCCAGGTCTAAACTTAAAAACATTGGTACGTTACTTACACAAGCACACACTATTATCAAACATGCTGCTACCGTACGTGCAACCTCGACATCAAAATGCAGATACTAAACTACATACGCCATTTTAAAATGTTTCTTACCCGTTTCTTAAGTAGTCTACGTGCAGGTTTTCAAGTCAATTTTCTCGGCTTCCATGCAATGAGTCGGGATATAAACAAAATGGCGTCCATTAACGAGTCTCCATTACTTTTTATATGTAATCACGCAAATCCTCTTGGTTACTTATAGGATGTCGTTTTCACATATGACATTGTGACCTTGAATGTAAGTCGAGTAATTCATTAATTTGAACAAAGTTGATAGCTTTGCAGCTGACCAACTTAAACGAAATATAAGTTCATCCTCGATATTGTGTGAAAATCAGTCTGAACACAATCCGCTTTATTTCCTCACAATCATACTCGTTTGTAACTTACATTTAATAACGAAAACTACTTTTGTTCGGAAGTACCCTACTCAATTTCTACCATACGCGTTAAATAACAAAACGATTTACTCGCATACATGTAGATCTGAGAAATGAAGGTATGTTGTATCTATAACAAAGAATATATCATTATGATAAGCGCATGAATTTACTCTATTTTAATCAAAACAAAACAAAATTCATATTATTTAAAGCAGGGGGGGGGGGAGAATAAAATTAACAATTATTTCTAATGTGTTGCCTCTATTCCTGATAGATCACACAATAGGCATTGCTATACAAGGAGGTGTGAACCTTTACCTGTTGCCTCTATTCCTGATAGATCACACAATAGGCATTGCTATACAAGGAGGTGTGAACCTTTACCTGTTGCCTCTATTCCTGATATATCACACAATAGGCATTGCTATACAAGGAGGTGTGAACCTTTACCTGTGCTCGTCTCTGTTATAACCTAATGTTTAACTGAGAAAGTTAATGGATCAGTTTTGTCTTTTGCTGATATGATAGGCAAAACCATAAACTTGACAACACAAATATGGTAATATTTATTTCATTTTAATCAACAGTTCCTACAAATATAAATCGTATTCCGAGTAATAATTGACAAGCAGTCATTCTACAGTATATTTACCCTCCGTGTATTATTCTAGTTCGAATTAACATTGTAACATTAAACATATAATGATAAAAAGTAAGGAAACAAATATATCCATACCAGTGGATTTTATTCGACATTTCTAGTAACTGAATATAATCCTAGTTATGAAAAAGAGGAATGTATCAAGAGATCCCAGAGGGATATTGGCGCCCACCATTGTACCATCTTCATTAGTTCTACGCCAGTTGATCTTTTCTCTTCTTTTCTCTTAATTGATTGACTGAGTCATGAACACAGTAAATGCACCTAGAGGTAACATCAATCTCAAAACTATACCTTTACAATGAAGGACCAAAGAAAACCTACGGAACAAATTTGGGAAACATCCATCCAGTACTTTCTGAGAAATAATAATAACAAACCTAACCTGTCAAAATCCTAGATGGCCATTTTGTTTATCTGATCAGTTTTTCAAAAGTTGACATGCCCAACATGGAGAGCTTACACTTTGAATATGAAAATTATCCCTCTGCTACTTCCTGCGAAATAGCGATAACAAACATTCACTGTCAAAATCCAAGAAGGCTGTCTGTGGGCCATTTTGTTTATCAGGACCATGGACCACGGACGACAGGCGATTTGAATAGCCTACCATCTGATGATGGAAGGCTTTAAATAGATCTCGACATATTAAACAACAGGCCCAGAAGCCTTAACGGTAATAGCTCACCTTGTATTTCATTTTCAATTTAAAACTTGCTGAGTACCATACAGGTTTATCTAAAGTGTACAAGAAGTACGAATTGCAAAAACAAATACATGAAATTATATTTCCCCAATTGGGCCCTCAAGGGGGTCACACCCTCAATCTATGAAAAATTTAGTCATTTTGCCGAAAGATGATCTATAATAAATTTGGTTATAATCCCTCTTTTTACATAGAAAGGTAAAGTTTTTAAAAGGTTTCTCTCTATTTCCCCTATGGGGCCCATTCCCTCTGGATCCAACCCAGGGGGGAGCACATACTCTGTATAAAATTTACAAATTGAATCCTCTAATCCCTTCAATGGTAAAAAGGAGAAAGATTTATAATTTGTTCCTCTCTTTCCCCTAATGGGCCTCAGATGCACCCTTCTGCCGAAAAGGGAGGCCACAGCCTCAGTTTATACATATTGTTTCTT